TTTATATACGTGTGTGTGTGTGTATGTGTCCGCATCTGTAGCCTGTTATTGTCTCATTATACCGCACTGTGAATGAATTAAAAGTAAATATATAAGTCTTCATGAACACATCTGTCCATCAGACAGAGGGCTGCTGTGCCTCCGGTTATCATTAATGGACGTCTCTTTAAAATGACTGCTCAGAGGAGAGGATTTCTCATTTCTCTAAGGAGGAGGGGAAATTAGTGAAATGAGAAAGGCCCTAGGACTTCCTCTATAATATTTTCACTGCTGACAAGCAGAATCTTAAAGCACAATGTAAAACAAAGGTCAATTATATTTGTTACTGCCCTCTACTGGTTGGGCTACAAAGTGCATCACATGTGAATTAGTAGCAGTTTCTTAAATAGGCTTTTATTGTTTTAAAGATATAAAATACAAACAGCTGTTTTTTTACGATGGAAAATATATATGAGAAAGGCGGGGCTTAGAGAAGAAGAAACGCATACAGTGCTTAATGTCAGGCACATAAATAGTGTGAATAAGTGCCATGTGGCCGCTCCGTAACAGTGATCCAGAGTGGTGTGCATGTTTCACTTAGTTAAAAACACAGAAATTACATAATTTGGCACTGAATATTGGAGTTCAATTATAACTCTGTATGACCACATAAACAAACACATTGAGTCATGTTATAAATAAATCACCTTCTATCAAAATAACTTTGTTTCACCAGCATCCTTTTGTCCAATTTTCCAAACTCTGAAGACAATTAGCACAACACCTATCTTCTCTGGACCACACCATTAAAATCACACTTCATGATTTGTAAAAAAAAATAGTGAGCAGTCAACATAGAGTCATTGTTTTGGTATGTAACATTCGTTACATACACGTTTACTTATACCAAAACTACAGCATGCCAACAATGAAAAAGAAAACCTTTAACATAGTATAATCCCTCGTCTTCTGCCACTAAAGGAACCTAAACGGGCCCCATTATGCTCATTTTCCCATTTGATAAATCAGGTAGATACGGCATGGAAAGCGATTTTATCAAAAGGTGCAAAGCAAGAGACAACATTAAATGTGATGTTGAGAAGAACATGGGTTAGCTAAATGTTAAAGGTGTACAGGTTGTGCTTTTAACTGTATTCGTGCAATATCATTTTTTTTAAATGGCAGCGTTTTAAACTGACTGTTTGTTTTCTTATGTACATTCTATAACTTTAGGATTATATGTCACCCTAAAAAAAGATAAAATGGGAGAGTTGGTTACAGTAAAAGGGATTATGAAACAGTGATGTCCTATTGTGTTTTGTATGCAGGTATAGGTAAAAAGTCATACTCTTTACTGTTTCGATTGATCTTGTGTGATTGATTATGGAGATGGGTTTGATGTGTTTTAGTAGAGTTAGTATGTAGAGAAATCGTTATTGCATTTTGAAATATAGAGTTGGTATTGCATTGTCAGTGGTTTTGAGCAGAAAGCCGACTATTTGGCTGACTGTGAGATGTAGGTGTGCTGTCGCTTGTGTTAAGAGTTTCGAAAAAGTAACTGAAATATGGATAAGCATTTGTTAGCTTTGCCAAAAATACAGTGAAATCAATGGAGAAAAAAAGAGGATTGGCAGCTTATAAATGGCATGACAACTTCACTACGATAAAATCAATAACCTTTCACTATGATTCAAAACACAATTACATTCAAACTCATATTGAGCTACAGGAAGTTTTGATATGCCTCAACGCAAAAAAAAGAACACAGTGCTAAAACCAAAGTCAAACTCCTCCACACTTTCAGTCCTTTACGCACAAACACACACATACATACAACACACAAACGCATCTCAGTTAACAGAGTTGCATATATTTTCCACCACTTTGTTGAACTCCTCTGGTTGATCAGCATACACGTGGTGAGAAGCATCATCTATCAGCTGCACAGTGGAATTTAAAAGGGAATAAAAGATTAGAGAAACTTGCATCAGTTATACGTAACCAGAACATGAACAGACCAGAATTACTGCCATGCAGTTGAGTGTCTTAATCAGTGAATAAAAGCAAACATCCATTACTGACCAGAATTTCATTATTGAATCCTATTAGATATTTGCGACAAGTTCTCATAATCAGTTTATCCTTGAGTTCTAGTGGAAATTTGTGACATTTTTGAGCAAATTCCCTTAAGGCGTTGCTGAGATTTCACATTCCTGCGAATGCACAGACAACACGAAAACATAATGCCCAAAAGGCACGAAAAACAAATAGGAATCAAATTAAAATGACTAATTTCAAACTCAATGGACCGTTTCAGACTCCTAATTGGATAATATCTCCCTCATGACTCTACTCACCAGCACTTTGGTGTGGGCCTGGTTCCTAATCTGGACCACTCTGTCCCCAGAGGAGCTGTCCACCCAGGATCGCGCTCCGTACAGCATGGTGAGGGGCATTGAGGGGGGCAGCTGGTGAACACGATCCAGCATGGGATTCTTGGCCCAGCCCAGAGACTCAGACATGGCCCTGAAACCCACCTCACCACTGGGAGGGGGAGCAGGATAAGGACATGGAAAAGGTGGTAGAGGATTGGTCAGATTATTCTAGGCCTTGTGTGTAGTTATGTGTGCCAAAGGCGTTACATTTTTGTAAACGTTTTTGCAAATTCAATCTCGCTTGTTTTAGTCATAATATCCCCTAAAAAGCTAACTTCAACACATGCCAGGACTCACCCATTCACACACTGATGGCATATGCTAGCTTACTACTTGGCTACCTGCACCATGGGTTAGCACACATTTACACACACAAACACACATTCTTGGTTCAGAATTTCGCCCAAAATAACATTTGACATGCCCAGCATCAAAACAATGATTGTTGGATGACAACTCAACCTCACGATGCAAAAAATATTCTCATGCAGGTTCCAGAAAAAAATGCAGGCAAAATGTTCATGAAACTTGTAAACGGGAAGCAAGAACCCGGTTCATTTTAGAAACTAAAACGAAACATTTACACTTTTTTTGTACATGCTGAAAAGAGCATTTGTGTTACATTCATCTGGTGTAGAAATAATAGGATGGACACGATTCAGACTGGTAAAATACATGTTACCACCATCCTTAATTAGTAGGACCTGTTGTTTAAACGCTCTGAGCAATACAATAGGACACGTCCTTTTATTTGTAGAAGCTAAATTGATTCCACATTTAGCCTAAAGCGTATGAACACACTAAAGTTTGGAAATGTATCCTGGGATGCACCATTTGCCTTGGAGGAGGTCTTTTGCTCTCATAAGGCGCGTTCACACCACAGTACTTTTCCCACTTTAGTTCCGATATAGTTCCGAAATGTCGCGTTCACACCAAAAAGAGCCGGAACTAAAATGAGTTCATCAGAACCTTTTTACCCCCTTTTCCGTCCCTGCTAGAGAGCAGGTACTTCCGTGGGAGAAAAAGGTTCCTATGTCTGATTGGCTGGGCGGAATGCAAACCACGCCCCGTCAAACTCCCAAAAAGTTTTGTGAAGCCGCTATTATATTATCCTTGCATTGGATTGATTAGCATTAGCCCAGCGCAGAAACGCAGAGAGACTAACTTATGGCAACACAAAATAAAACATGGGAGCAGTGGAGATGAGGAGGTGCCGGGCGATTTACTCTGAAGGCTTCAGTAGTCTGCCAGTAAACCCAAAGCAGAAGAAGAAGAAGTGACGTCAGCGGATTCATTTGCCTAATCCTCCCCCAGGGACTTATTTCGGTGTGAACGCGATCTGTACTTAGTTCATGAGAACTAGAGAGTTCTCATGAACTAAGTTCTCATTAACCTTTGTGGGAAAAGTACTGCGGTGTGAATGCGCCTCTTGTTACATAACATAACAGTCAAATGTGGTTGAGCGGTGCGTTTGCTTACCTTGGGGTCTGTGCGTTACAGTGGTAGATGTACTGGGTCATTGTGTCATCCTCAAACAGATCTTCAAATTTCCTTTTGAAATCAGGACGGAATCTGTTCACCAAGCCCGGACCTGAATCAACGACACACTGTAAGATGGATGGAGTGGGAAATGGAACATCACAATGTTACCCAATCAATAAGATATCTTACCCCATGGGCCTGCTGCTCTGATGACAGCCAGTGGGTTGAATAGGGAAACCACAGCGGCAATAGCTTTTACCCAGCGCGGAAGGGGGGGCCTCTTGTTTACCTCTGATCCCTGACCCTCCTGGGTCTGTGGCTGGGGTCGCTCAGGGAAACCCCAGGGGTCCACCAGGATCAGATGTGACACCCTGTAAGAGAAGAAGACAGTATATATTCATTTCAACTGGCATTCAATTTTTCTACAGTAAATGCCTTTAAAGAAGTAGTGCGCTTTGCTGTCTTTGTGAATACTACTGCTAAGAGAAAATGCCATACACTACTGCATGATGTATGGCATTTTCTTATTTAGATTTTCTTTGCTAGCCAGAGAACCAACTGGACAATATGGAGGTAGGATTTGAAAAAGAGAGAACCTGATAATAAATTGGCTTTCTTGCTGAGATTTGCTGATAGATTATATTGCAGCCTATTTATTTCTTGGCCAGTTGAAGTCACTTCTTCCTGGAGTCTTGGAAGGTTTCTAATTTCTCTAATTTCCCCTCCTCGACTCCTCGAATCCTCGGTCCTCCGGTAGTGACCCGGAAATGGATTTCAGCGAGCCATGTTGAAGGACATCTAATTTCTCTAAATGCACATCGAGGACCGAGGATCAAGCATCGAGGAGGCTCTCTGGAGGAGCTCTAACCGAGGAGACACTGATGGGTCCTCCACGGCTCCTCCGCAGATGTATTTCCGGCAACAGTGATGTTTCACAGAGTCATGACGCACGGCCGGACTTATCTCAGCCAATGACAGCTCTGCATGCATCCCCTGGATATTATTTAAGTAACTGCTTTAATCACAACGCGATGTTTCCAGTGATAACAGCTGTGAGGTCTGTGCAGAAAGCAGAGCAGTGTGTCAAATATATATCACTCAGTATAACAGGCCTACATTACTCTCTTTATTTGTATGCCGTAGTTTAGTAGATATCTACAAACAAAGAATTGATATTTTTCTAAAACCATTTAGTACTTCACATAATAAAATTCACAACGGCTGTACCCTGATATATATTATATGCTTTAGGAGCTGTTGGTGTGTGTTGTACAGTGTGTAGGTGTGTGTTGTACAGTGCGTAGATGCGGCGGACAGACGGGTCTCAGTTGGTTTGGTGTCCTATGCTTAGCCTACTTTTATTACTTGTAAAAACAACTTTTGGCCCGTAATTTCAATTCCCCATTTCAGCAACCAGAGAGAGGGGGGGGGAGATATATCCAGTCTCTGATTGTGTTACGTTATTATGAGAGTGCTCTCATACTTGTTTGATTCTGAAATTGTATATATTTATATAAATATATGTGTGGGTATATGTCCGCATCTGTAGCCTGTTATTGTCTCATTATACCGCACTGTGAATTAATTCAAAGTAAATATATAAGTCGTCATGAACAAATCTGTCCATCAGACAGAGTGCTGCTGTGCCTCCTGTCATCATTAATGGACGTCTCTTTAAAATGACCGCTCAGAGGAGATAAAGAGACGTCCATTAATGATGACAGGAGGCACAGCAGCACTCTGTCTGATGGACAGATTTGTTCATGACGACTTATAT